ATCCATGCGAGCAGGCAGGAGGAAGGCTGAGTCCCTCCTGAAGGAAAAGGCTGACACAGAGCCACAGTGCACCCTCAGTCTACAGGAAGTGGTCCTGGATCTCCCCTTAGATTTGTTGAGACTCACAAAAGAATGATCCTGTTTTATGATACACTGCCGGTTCTACTGCGTAGTTTCTCTATTCAGACTCTGGTTGAGACTCATTTGCATAGGGTCTACAGCTTCCCTTCCCCTTTACACTTGATATAGCTAAAAACCCAGAGACACGGCTGAGGATGTAGCTCAGTGGTTGAGTGCTGGCCTAGCATGTATGAGGCCCTGCACTGCGCGAACGGAAAGACAGAAGAGATCAACTACAAAAGCAACAGCTGCTTTATTTGGCCCATTTCATTGGAAATGTTTGCTTTTGTTTATTACCCCTTTAATATGCATTTTGGAAAGCCAATAATACTAGTCTGAAATTTAAGATTTTTTTTTAATGTTGCAAACATTTTTAGATGTTGAAGGTGGGACAGTTTTTCCTGCTTATCATTTTCATGTCAAGAAAGAAAGACATACAGATAATATTAAACTTCCTGCTACTTTCAAAATTTTTTGAAAACTTTTATGGTGCTTTTCCCCTTATTTTCTTGATCTAGAACTCATACTGGAAAAAAAAAAGCCCTAGTATTACCTGGCCCCGTGTTCATCATAAACATCTTGGAAGCTGATTTTCCTATGTCTGCAGTTATCTAGAGCATCTGTTCTGTCCCTGTCTGGGGAGATTTTCATAATCTTCATGACTACTGCCAAAATGTTGTCCTTTTCCTCCTCAAAAGAGGCATAAGCTTTTAATTTGGTATGATTCCATTTGTTGAATCTTACTTAATTTGATGTGATTCCATTTGTGGAGTATTATTTCTTGTGCCACAGAGGTTCTGTTCAGAAAGTCCTTGCCTACGCCTATGTCTTTAAGAGTTGTATCTGCGTTATCGTCCAGTAGATTAAGTGTTTCTGTTTTAACATTTAGATCTTTGATCTACTTGGATTCTAGCTTAGTACATGCTGAGATATATGAGTCTAGACTTAATCTTCTGCATGTGGATATCCAATTTCCCAGCACCATTTATTAAAGAGACTGTCTATCCTCTAGTATATATGTCCATCAGTAGTGAATTCCTAAGAAAAATGGAGTACTATGTTTTCATAAAGAAAGATAAGCTGTATCCATTTATCTGTAAATGCCTCAAGTTTAAGAACATAATATTAAGTGAAGTAAGTCAGACACACAAACTCAGATATCACATGGTTTCTCTTATATGAGAAACACAAATAAAGAACAAAATAGAAGATGAATAGGAGGTAGGGAGAAGTTGAAATACTTTCCCAAACTACAAAGTGCATTGCTTTAAAGATATTTCAGTATTGATGTTAATTGGTTTTATTTACACTACTAGTGTATCTTAGTTTATTAAAAGAAAGACGTGTTATGTTTCTTTTTTGTGAGAATCTTTTTGGTTTATGTTCTGTACTGAGTAACTACTTTGAAGATCGTGATACACACTGTACTAACTATTGTGACTCTCATTATTTGATTGGCATAGAGATATATAGATAGGTACATATATACATATAGTCTATCACCAAGTTATAAAATGAGGCTTGACTCAAAGAACTTTAAGGGAAGGGGAGAATAGTATTATTATAGCATTTTTTCAGAATGATTAAGGAAAATATGTCTTCCTATCTTTGGGAATCATTTAATTTTTCAGGACTTCCAGAGAAGAAGCTTCATAGACTTGATGTTAGACCCTTATTATTGTCTCTTATACTCTAGTCTTTAATTTGGGAAGCCCATCTCCTAAATGACTTTATCCTTCACTAAACTCCTTTCAGCCTCTCTAGGGCAGTATCAGACAAATGGCAGTAATGGAATTCGTCTTTCTAATTCCCTAACCATTAACTTTCCCGTAGCCCATAATCCCTGCTATGTTAATGCCAGGCCAGCTTGCTTTATATTTCCTGAATGGACTTGCCATTTCTTTTTTTAATAAGAGCAGCTTGCAGTTTCCCTTCAAAGGCACAAAAAGGGCTTTTTCTCTGCAAGACAGGATGGGAAATTTTGAAAGCTAATTATTTCTATTCAGATAGCCAAAGTAAAGTTATATTCATAGCCAAGTTTTAATGTGGTCTTCAAATGCACTTTATATGCTCACGTTGCAGAAAGGCATATTTCATTTGCTAAAGAATTGTTTTAAATGAAATTTAATTTCAAAAACATTATTTCTAGTTTACCTGCTTAAAATATTTTGCCTTCCTTTAAATAAAATCTCTGGTTAACACTTGAAAATACTGTTTTCCACTTACTCTGTTCAGGCTTTGAAAATAAAAGGCAATGTAAGTGATGAACTTGGGTCCAAATATTACAGAATACTAGTGAAACACATCTGCACAAATATCTGAGCTCTTGACTTAATAGCAAACACAGTGAACATGTTTACTTGGGGTCCAGATTTCTTATTCTAAATGTAGTGCCATGCAAGTCCGTGGTCTCTTTTTCAGCCATGCCTGGGCTTCATCAGTAGAGATACCAGTTAGGGGAGACTGACTGATTTTGCCAGGGCTAAGAACTTTGCTTATCTTACAATATGAATCACTATAATTTGTTTTCTGAGGTTATTTTCCATGCTTAAAGAAATCTTTTAGATTTTTTTTCTTCTTGTACTAGGGATTGAACCCAGCACCTTCACACTGAGCTATGTCCCCAGCCCCGTTTTGTATGTTTTATTTTGAGGCAAGTCTTATGAAGCCATTAAGTCACTCTGGCTAGGCTCAAACATGTGATCCCCCTGTCTCAGCCTCCCAGAGCGCTGGGACTACAGGTGTGCACCACCACACCTCGCTTATTCACTCATGCTGTATGGAGTGTCTTCTAGATTATAATCTGTAGAGGACAAGAATTTTTGTTTTTCATTACCACTTTTTTAAAACCGAGAGCTGCACTGGGCACAGAAGAGAGGGTCCAAACGCATTAAATGACTGAGCATCACTACTGCGGGCAACGTAATTCGGCTCACTGAGGACACAGTGAGAAGCAAATAAACTCAGGCTTGCTGTCCTGGAGCTTGACTGAGGGGAATGTAGTAGAGCTTGATCAGAGAAACAAATGTGTTTCCAGGGTGAGCGTGCTGTAAGCAGCAGTACAAAGTGTGTTGAGGCTGCAGATTGGAGGAATCAAGTTGGGAGACCTGTAAGAGGGGCTCCCTGAACCAATAGCTCTGGTGAGACCAAAGGAGGAATAGGCAGTAATGAGAGGAGAGGCCCATCGTGTTGTGTTTCGTCCGAGTCTTTCCCTCTCACTCTCACATCTCCCCTTGGTAGTTGTCATTACAGACTCTTGCTAACTGTCCCTGCGACCCTCATTGCTAGCTACTCCTGGACCTCTGCAAAAATCTGAAGTTTGTACAGCTCATCTTTTAAGAAACAGCCAGTACTCATCTATTTTTAAAAGAGCAAGTCAGTATTGTTTTAAAAACAAAGGAGAAAATATCAAAAAGATAATAAATTCACCAGGAGAACATCTCCTTTTCTGCTCATTTACTTTATCTGCTGTGTGCTTAGGGAAGTGCCCCCTGATAAATACCCGATGGGTTCTGACTGGTCAGCCAATAGATTGGTTGGTCGGTCAGCTGCTTGGATGGCTGGCTGGTTGGCTGATTAGTTAACTGGTGAGATGTTGGTGTTTTGGCTAGCCAGTTGGTTTGTGGGCTGGCTGGGAGGTCACATGTCAGATGGTTGGCTAATTGGCTGATTAGATGATTATTTGTTGAGTAAAAAGGAGGGCAAAAGATTAGCATTAAAGTCAGATACTAACTTCATTGACTTTGTGATATTGAACAAGTTACCTAGCAATATAAGTTCTTTATAAACAATATTTTTCTCATAGGTTGTATTAGGGTGTGGCTGCTAGTTCATATAAAGCTTTAAGTAAGATACATAGGATGTTGAAGTGTTCACTAGTGTATATTCATTGATTTAGAGAAAACAAAGAGGCTTGGATATAGCTTAGTGGTAGAGCACATACCTATCATGCATGAGGCCCTGGCTTCAATCCCTATCATAGTAAAAAAAAAATTTTTAATTTTTTTTAATTTTTAAAAGAAAGAAATTTGAATTTTTTTCAACATGGAACAAAATGAGTGAAACCAAATGATTAGTCTGCATTGAATGTTAACTGCTAATTTTAAACCTTCAAATATGTTTTATTGCTGCAAATACATGTGTATTTCAGGCCAGAAGTATACATACCTTGGGTGGAGAAAGCTTATTTAGAAAACTGACAAACACAGAAACCATTTTCTTCTTTGAAGGATTAAAATTTAATCACCTCCGTCCTCATTGCCCTCTCGTTGTATCAGTTCAGGGCTCAGTAGGATAGTAATGCTCTCCATTAAAAGAAGAGCTCATGATATATTTTTATTGACAGGAGTGATAGCAGTTACCCAGGTATTTGCTTTATAATTATTTGCTTACCTGAACATCACGTTGTATGTAATTTTCCATACGCACAGTCATACATATGCATAAGAGAGGTAGGAGACTGTGGTGGGATAGGACAGAACAGATCACATTTAAGCCTGGGTTAGGGCTGTGCAAGAAAAGTGGAAGCAATAAGCTGTAGCTATAAAAATGAGGAGATGAAGTTTATTCCAGCTATTCATGTCACAAATGGAACGCTTTTTTTTTCTTTTTGCTAGTTATGCAGATATAACATGCACTGATGTCACTGTCGAGTAGGACCTCTCTATGCCACTGCCCTAATGCTAGGCATGAGGAACTGTCTTTGACAGGCTGTCTCATACATAGATACAACTGCCCCATGTCTTGCAGCCATTGTCATCCGCAGCCATGCCATGGGTGCAGAATTTCAGAGGTGGCTGTGCTAGTTTCTTAAACACTGTCAGAAATGAAGGCAGCAGTTATACATCTGTGTTACTAACAAGCAGCTTTTGGTGTTTCAGCGGCGACTGGGAGATGCAGCAAAGAAAGCCATCAGCAAGCTCCAGGTTAGGACCATCAAGAAAGGCGACAAGGTAACAGCCTCTTCTCTTTTTGGTGAGGAGCTACTGAGGGACAGAGGAAAAGGGGAGGCTGGGAAGGGAAACACATGCTAAAATTTATCCTATAAGCATCTAGTTCTTATTGCTCTTTTTTATGTGCAAAATGCATACAATAAGGCAGGAAGTCACTGGGTAGAGAACGTGAAAACTGAAAAGTTAAGTATGCAAGAAAATAAATAAACCCAGGAGGAGAATAGTACACAAATGTACTACCTTAAACAGAAATAGGTCCCAGTTTTAGGTTGGGATTTTTAAAAGCCAATACAAAAGAAGAAACAAAATTCAGTATTCAGACAAGATTTACCTTATTCCAGTGTCCCACAAAATAAATAAATTAAAAAAAATGCTTCTGTCTACTAGTAGGATGGAACCCTTGAACAGAGCTATTTGCTGATCTGTGTTCTATGCACAAATCAACAGTGTAAATGACGGAAGGCTATCCAGTCTGTCTGAAACATTCACCTTTAGGTGAATTCACTCCCTCTTGCACTATGGAATGATGGCATGAAGCCAAAAGCAATCCTATGTCTCGAGGAAGGACAGTGGATTACAATACAGTTTATGGGTTTACGGTTCCTGGGGGGTATGGCAAGGGATTCATATCTCCACATGTGCACCAAATGTTGTCTCTACTATGAATAATTGCTTTTTCTGACAAATCAGGCGCTATTATTTTTCAACCATATGAAAACACTGTTGGGCTTAATGAGATAAAATTCCACTCAGCATGATGGCATGTGACTGTAACCCCAGCACATGGGAGGCTGAGGCAGAAAGATCACAAGTTTGGGTCCAGCACAGATAACTGAATGACTTAGCAAGAGTGTTTCAAAAAGGAGTTTGGCGGGTATATGTCAATGCAAAGCCCCCAGTACAAAAAGAAAAGACAAAAAGAATTGTTCATTATAACATTTTCATCACTGTCTTCTCCCTTTCCATCAGAGAATAATAAAAGTACAATAAATATTACATAAGTAATAAATTGTGAAGTATTAAAAGAGATTTATATACTTGAAGAAATAGAACGGTTATTTTGTTTTTATTTACATATGTTTCATTAGGTTACAGAAGAATAAGTCACTGAAATATCATTTAGACACTTGTCCATAAATATTACTTCTGATCCTCAAGAGTTTGATATGTCATCATGAATCATAACTAAGAGCATCGTTAATAATGGCACGTGAGAAAATGCTTTTCCTCACAGAAGCACTTGCAGTGGAACCTAGAAACAAAGTGGAGGTTGAAAGGGATGGAAACTAAGCCAATCACCAGTAAATTATTGATGAAGAAAATCAGCACGGGACATTGAAAGCTTTGCTCTAGCCTTGCTCCCCTTGGGTTTACTCGGGTATTTACTTAAAAATTGAGGCTGAGAATGTAGGCTCATCTCTGCTGCTTCTGTTGCAGGAAACAGAGCCAGATTTTGACAACTGTGCCGTGTGTATTGAAGGGTACAAGCCCAACGACGTGGTCAGGATCCTGCCCTGCCGGTGAGTTGCTAGGCTGCCTGCTTCTCATGGTGTGTGGAGATCCTGCTGCTCTCGCAGGCCCAGACTTCCATGTTGACATTGCAAATAAGAAACGCACACCTCCTTTCCTGTCACCTTGGTCCGTGGAAAGGCTTTCTTCTTGCTCTTTGCATAAAAGAAGCAAACTGCTATGGACCAGAACCTCACGATTGAGCTTGTGATGACGCAAGTCCAGGTGCCACTTCTCGTGAACAGTAGCCCTGTGATCCTCAGAATCAATTCTGGGTTTTACTGTACTGTTTTAATTAAAATCACAAACCCTTAAAATATTTTGCAAATGATCATGAAGGGATGTGCAGTCAGAATATCAGGAGTAAGTAGGAATCCAAAGGCATATTCCTCATCCCTTAATGTTTTACTACCGGAAAGAGAATATGACAGCAAGTTCCCCCCCAGTTTGTGAAATATACTGGAGGACACCAGGATATAGATTTGGGAAGACGTCCTGAGTGTTTCTTATAAAACCCAAATTTTCTGCTTTGTGAAATTCTCTAATAAATCGTCTGCATCATTTTCAAATGGTTAAAATTCAATAAATTTAAATACCTTCATTAAATTATACATTTTACAGTTGCATAAACACTGTCCTCCTTAGTTGAAAATCCTTTTTAGTCTACATGACTCTATGCGGTGTCCCCAACATAAAAATCAAATTAGGCTTGATGAACATTCTGCACTTAGAAAAATCAGCTTTAAAATTTCTTAAGAGAGTTTGAAATAGCTAAGGTAGACAAAAAGTATGCCACAGAGTCAAAAAAAAAAAAAAATGCACTGGTTCATAAAACAATGCACATTTAAAAACTCTTTATTTGAAATACAAAAGGAATAAAATATGCTTTTGGAGGATTGGTTTAATGATCTCAAAATGACAGAAAAGTGACCAAAAAAACCCTAGATATTCAGATAAACGCAGAAAAACTCTAGGGAAATGGATCTTTCCTGAGATGTTGAGGGACAAATTGATCATTAGGAAAATGAGCAGCAGGAAAGTCTACCCAAAGGCCCCAGCCAAAGCTTTCACATGTGGTTGACTTGTTCTTAGCCTGAAGATAACTGACTCTGAGATAAATCATAAACAGGGATAAACTATACAGAACATCTCAGAGTCACAGCTTTCGTCTCTGTGGTATTTTCTTCAGGGTTTGTAAAGCCTAATGTCATAAGCAAGTCTAGTTCTTTATTTTACTTTTCTTCTGAAACATTGTTCAGAGCCTTACTAATAAAAGGTATCCAAACCTAATTAAGTAGCTGCTTTTTCCTGGCAATCCAAGGAATGTTATAAAAGTAATTAAGAGACCATGATTTTAAAAGTATATATAATATTACTTTAGCTTTGCAGTTCATACAGTGTAAAATAATTTATTCATTTTTAAGCTCTGTCCTGAATAAATTTCATGTTACTACAAGTAACTGCTGGGAGGCGTGTAACAGCCAAAGCATAGTTGTGCCACAGTTTAATTTACAATGTCTTGTTTTGGACCATTTGGCAGATTTCAATTTCTCATTATGACAAATTGCAATCCTTTAACAGTATTTAAATTTTTATATTATTCCAGCCTTTTATAATTTTCTACCAATATTAATCAAGAAAATAGCATTTTAATATTTACCATGAAAAATAAAACTTTAGGGACTTTAGTTTTGTTGATGGCACCACCTACCAAGGCCAGTATGGTTGGGCTTCTGGCTCCTGTTTTACATGATTACTTGGTTCGCAGGGAATTCTTTGATTCCTTTTGCTTCAAGCTCTCCACCCTCTATTTTTACTTCCTTATGGTAGATCCTGCTTTAAATAACAATACCGTTTGATCTTATACTAGGCACACGTATATTTTCTTTGAGTAGCTCAGATATTTTTCCCATGCTGATTTTAAACTCCAGATATTTTTATGCCTGATGCTGGATTCTGCCAGATGGTTTGCACTAATGGATGTTATCAAATAAATGCAGTGGCATTTGCTTTTTGCTAGATAATTTCCTCTGGGGTATTATTAAACCTTTGTTCCTACTAACATCATGGATTCTCATTCTATTATTTCTAGGCTGATTCATCCACCGAATTCTTCGCATCTCCTTGGAGTAAAAACTGTTTCAGAAAATGACCCAGTGTGTCATGTCCCTTCTCTCAGACATTGTTCTGTGGCCTCGGAACCCCTGACATACTAGGTGCATCTCTTTCCTAGTGTTAGGATTTAGGATGTCTTTCCAGAGCATCTTGGTTTACAGCTGTACCGACTTTCTCAAACTCATTCTATGGTTTGTCTCTTTCTGAGAGCCCTTACACAAATTAAGTTAGTAAGTGTCTTCTCTTTCATATGGTTATGTTGATTACTTAAGTTAAGTCATGAGTATAACCACCTACCTTTTACTCTCCTCATTCTGTATTGTCCGGTCCTTCTCTAGCATATGGCGACAAGGCTCCCTTGGAGTGAGGAATAGACCCAGGGTAGCACACAGTGCACGTCTGCCTTGGACAGGTCTAACTTTTGTGGTTTGGATTTGATTCTAATACACCACCAAGGCTTCTTCCAAGAAACTTGGTTTTTGTACATAGCACATATGTAGAAACATAATTTATGCTTTGCTAGGGCTGGCTTTTGTGTCAGTTAGTATTTGTGATTATGAATTTTAGCCACAAAATATTTTTTTCCTGAAACAGTTTATTGAAGCTTCATTGTTTTCTTTTGTCTGGAGAATAACTTTGCCTCTGTGATTCATCTCTGGCTTTTGTCCTATGGCATCCTTACTGTTCTTGATGACTGTTCATTTCAGTCTACTTAATTACCATGTTTCAAACACATGGTGTCTCAGAGAAAATGTGAATTCCTTGAGCAGGCCAGAAGTCTATATCTGCCATTATGAAAAAGCAAAGCAATGTAATACACTATATGCATCCTTTTCCCTCGTATCTGTAAAATTCTTTTCTACCTCTAATTTATCACTACAACATTATCACTAATATTAGTGCATTGTAGTTTTTCCTTTGATCTGACCAACTCTACTCTATAACTTAGGAAAAATCTTAAAGACTCCTCCTGAGAAGCAGACCTCATGATAAACTTTTTGATGATGAAATCCTTCCATTGGAACAGCAGATGTTTTATAGCAGCTGTATGCCAGGAATAGTGGGAAGAATCAGAGGTGAAAACATAGACAGTATGCTCTGTGCTCTTAAGGAAATAGTGAAGTAGAAAAGATGAGAATTTCAGTATAACCAGGATTCAGAGTGACATGTGCAATAGTAGTAAGAAAATATATTTTAAAAATTGGTGGAACCAGGCTTGGCGGCACACTCCTGTAATCCCAATACTCGGGAGTCTGAGGCGGGAGGATCATTGTGATTTTGAAACCAGCCTGGGGTACAAAGTGATCTCAAGTCCAGCCTAAACGGCATAGCAAGACCCGGTCTCAAAAAGACAAATACATACATACATACATACATGGAACATGAGGCACAAGAAAGTTAAGAAAGGCTCCACCAGAAAGGGTACTATATATTTTCAAACACTGATTTCATTTCTCCTTTCATCTTCATCACAGAAAATTTGTAAAAGTGGATGAAATATTTAAGAATATGTCTGACTCCCTCATGTAGGTAATTACTGCTAATATTTCTATATATTTCTTTCCTTTTATGCTTTTGCTTGTTCTTAAAAGCTTAAGATATTATTGTGAACATCATTTAAAGCCCTGTCTTTTTTCTTACTATAAGAGTTTGCTAGAAATAGTACTAGATGATTTACGGTTTATTTTGACCTTCCTATGGTCTTGGAAGCTATAATCAGAAGTTGCTCAAGCTCTTACTTATATAATCCTACCAGAGACCCTGGGACGTTGGTATTATTTAGGTAGACTCCTCTCTCAAAGGGTCTTTTCATGGCCCAGTCACAATTTTCCAGTGAGGTAAAACAGGAATGTGCCCCAGCCCCTTGAGCTGACTTCTTCATGATCCTTGAGGAGCCATTCACATGTAACCATTCCGCCCCAGTTTGGAAGACAAAGCAGCAGTTTCTCATCCAGCGCTGTGTCTGCCTCTGGCCTGCAGAGGTAGCGTGTCCTACCGGCTTCTTCTGATCAGAGTTGCATTACAAATAAACTCTAAAACTCAAGCTGTTGTCTGATGGGCACTCCCCCAGCGTTGACCTCGTTCACACATCCCTTCCTGAAGTCATATTTTTGTAAATAGTGCTTCCTCAAGGAGACGCTGAGAAACAGCATTGTAAAGGCTGCCTGAACTTGAACGACAGAGGTCTTTTTATACTGGAGCAGAGGGAAAGAGCGCAGTGAAGGGAGCAACGAATAACATCTATCCTGAAATCACTCTAGCTGGAAAACGTCCTCTTCTCTTTAACATCTAAACACTGAAGCCAATTTCTGACAGTGCTAAAAGGAGAGCAACAGCCCGGCCTGCTCCGGCCACACAGTCAGTAGCTCTGCAGACCCAGAGTGTATAGGATTCCTTGTTCTTCACAATGGGACGTTGGTTTTCCTCTGGTAAGATTATCCATTAGATCAGATAACTCTGGAACCGATTTCTGGGCTTGCTTGGAAAAAAATATATATAGCATAAATTTTTATCTTTGTGAACCCTTTCAAGGGTCTAGGTCGGTAGCACTGAGAATGTCCACATTGTGGACAGCTTCCCCTACCCAGAGTGAAGCCCTCATCCATCCAGCAATAACGCCCATCCTCTCATCTGCGTGTCCGTGCGTGTGTTTCCTACCTCTAGGTTTGACTTCTATTAAGAACAAAATGTCAATTCTTGAAATTTAAATTTAGCTTGAAGAAGCCAATTTAAGTTGGCTGACTGAAAATTGGTTTTCACATGCTAAAACTTGACAAAGAATGCTAATTCTATGTCTGTTTAGTTTTTGCTGTTATTGCTGTTCTTACAACACCGAGATGATATTACTCATCCTTTCTATACTGTTCAGATTGCCATTGATAACATCTTTCTTACC